AAGAAGAAAATGGGGGGGGTTGTCCCTTCGGGAAAGCTGTATACCCATATATCATCTCTATTTCTTATTTCAGTGCACCTCAGTACAGTCAGTCATTAACTGCGTTTGTATGGCATATGTTACTTCTGTTCGAATCCACACAAAAGGCTACCTTTAGCGTATGTAACTGGATTGAACTGATACAGCACAGTTCTCGTCAGGAAACTTCTCTGTATGGTGTATACTTTGTATTCAGGGGGACATTAGCTACATGGATGTCTTCAGAGCAGTGGGTGCCTTTCCCTGCCCTAAAGAGTTGATTTCCCTGGGAAGAACAAAAATGGTAACTGCCTGACTGACAATATATTTTTGAAGCCATATAGGCCTCTGCACTAGATCTCTGCTCCGCTCTCCAGTATACTATAATGAAGATTATATCTTTACAAAAGTAAAGATAGATTTCTATAGATTTCAAAAGTAAAAATATAGATTTTCTATACCAGTATAGAATATCTCAAACCGCTAGAGGGCAGTCATATAGACTCTAAAGTGCAGAAGGAGGGATGTTTATGAGTACTGAGAGAGAAGGTTAAAGTCTAAGAAGGCTTAGACCTTATCCTATAAGCCACTTATCTGTGTGCTTCATATATCACATTCATAAAATATGGCCTGAACTGTGGGATATCTTCTCCTCATCAACGTGTGAGGGACCATTCACAGAGTATCGAGTTCCTCACATCCTCCCACACGGTGGGGAGAGATCATTCAGTGGCCAGACCCTTTCCAGCCCTTACCAAATAAACGGGCCAAGGCTGTGGCCCATTTCCTAGGCAGTTCAAGCTTCCCAAATAAGGAACTACTGAAGGAGCCCATGGACATGGTGCAATGTTGTTCTTGCCTGGTGCTGCTTATCCTTGCCTGCTGGAAGGCACGGAGGGAGGCGGCATAGACTGTAGCAGTCGACCACCTATGTACCAAAAAATAATCTGGAGGAAACTCTTGCGTTAGCTGGGTGCCTCTCAAAGGGAGGTGGTTCCTGAGAGGGACGTTACAGAGGAGACCGCACCTGAGAGAAGGAAGGGTTTGTCTGGGCTGACTAAGGCCTGCTCAGCTTCAGGAAAGAAAAAAAACCCACTACCGCTGGGAGGTGACACCTGTGTGGAAGAGGAACTGGAGCTATGAGAGCGTTCCTGTCCCTCACTTAACAGCAGCTTCCCCCGATCACTAATCCAGGCATAGAGGGACATCGTTTTCCAGGCGCACGAGCTTCAGAGCCTTCCCACTACTGAGTATTCATGGCCGCTCCAATGCCGGCCTCCCCCAGGCAGAAGCTGAGCGCTGCACGGCGGCGACCACAGGGCACAGACCAATGGCCACCGCCCGGGATGCTGAGGAAGCCACCCCGGGAGCGGGTGCCAAGCTAGGCAGCCAGGTGGGAAGCCATCCTCCGGCAGTGGGCAGCTGTCCCCTGGAGATCTCCCACAGGCAACGCAGGCTCTGCTGGTGAAACAGCTGAAGGGGGGTCTGGGCGAGCCCTCACACCCCACGCTGGGCCAGGGCTACCGCGTACAAAGAGCAGAGAGCGACCGTGCGGGGATGTTGGTTCCCTTCTCCCAGCACCTTGATACCACGGCCAATGCCCTTTGGCAGCCCAGCAGAAGGCACCTCACCGTCAGGGCCCTCCGCGCTTCACCTGCCCTGTCGCCACGCACGGAGGTCTCCACTCTTTTTTTTTTCCCTCTTTTATTCCAACAGATGGAGCAGGAGGAAACTCCTGAGTAAACAACAGACCCCTGCTCAGGTCCAAGCCCAGGGCTTGCAAACATCCAAAGTTGGAAAACTCACTTCACATGACTGCAGGTGACCAAACAGAAAGGTGCAGTGATTGCACACTGTTACTGTACTGCCCGTACCTGCACAGGAAAGCCACAAACCACTGCATTTCAGTCTCTCAAAGAAGAGAACTTCCATTTAGAGCCTTACCTGACACTAAAGCAATCTGCTGGTCAAACTGTCTCTGATTCAAAACATAACTGCAGCACGTATCTGTATTAACTTCAAAGGGTTTTTTTTTCAAATAGCAAACCTTTTTTTTTTTTTTTTTTACCCCTCATACTTTGGAAAGTAGTTTTGGAAGCATTTTTGCAGAAACTTTCCACAGACAGTTCCAGCCAGCATGGAAAATTTTATCCTGCTCTTTATATGTTGGCCTTAGCAGAAACTGTACATGTGGGGAGCGTCAGAAACCATCTTTACCATAAGCCATCTTACTAGGCTCTACCAGGGAAACTATAGCCACTTGGTGTCACATAAGCATCTGCGCAGCTGGTACTGCAGTTAAATAGGAGAGTAATGTTGTGGAATATTTCATTTCACTTCTTAGAAGAGTACAGATGGGCCAGGACTCAGCTAGCCTAACTTTAGGTACCCCAGGTAAGATGCCCAATTAGGACCACCACCCAAAGCTCTTTTCTGAGCAGTGTCCCTCATTTTTTTCAGCTACTTGTAGAAGTGTTTCACTGGAGGTGCAAGGCTATACAAGAGTCTTGGTTTTCTTCATGAATTTCTACAGCCTCTTTATGAGAAGTGTACAGAAGGCAGGCACAGCCTACTTTCTGAAAACCTTTTGGGGGAGAAACAGGCATCTCCTGCTTAACTTGCTTAAGATCCAGGCTGCCCTCCACAAGTAACCACCTGTTGCGTCCAGAGGGAGCACAAGAAAAATACTGTTACTAAGAAGCTTCACTTATCTTCGTAAGGCTCATGAAAACGGTACACAGCTTATGATACACAGAGATAAGTAATACAAACTAAACCACATAAAATGTCTGAATTTATGTATTTAAATGTTTGTGTGTGTCTCATCAATACACTCCAACTGAGGGGCGTATGAGAGCCCAGGCATGCTCACCATACCAAATACAATATAATGAGTGTTTTAAGGTTCATTGGGTCGACCTTTCCGCTAACTAGAGCTGCCCAAGCTGGTGTCAGTTACAACACTGCCACCAGCAGAAAATGTGCATGATTACTTCCATTTTACAAATGGGTGAAACTAAACCACAGGTTCAGCTCTCAGTCAAAATAACACATTACACCTATGTCAGCTGGGATTTCAGGAGTCCTAGCCCTTTGCTTCTCAGTCCAAAGACTTTTCTCTAAAGGAAATATAGGCCTTACAGACAGGGAATTCTGTAAAACAAACAAACCAACAAACAAACCCAAAACCCAGCTGACTGCCATAGATTCCCTCCCTTCAGGCATACATCAAATTCAGGGAAATTAAAAACATGGAAAAATTTGTCACCTTTTCCACACTAAGAAATTGAGGCAACGTGTTGAATATTCATTGCCAGCAGTTGCAGACTTTTGCACAAAGCAGGAGCCACGTAATGAGCCTATGCACGGTAGAACAGTTAAAATTACAATCAGACATTGTTTTTTAAAAGTAACCCATTAAAACCATACCCTACATCTTGGCAAAGAGGAAAGGCACCCAGGGTACACCTCTGAGTCACTGAAGTTCCATACTTCTTCATTATTAATGACCCCAGTGGGTTTTTTTCTTGAAAACGATAGATAGTATTTCATGGTTTGTTACCCTAGGGCTGCAGTTCTCTGCACACGTATCTGCACATCACACCTTGCTAATGCCTGGGACATGTGAGGCAAAGATAATGCGTATCACAAAACTTTGTCACTTTGCAAGTGCAGTTTCATTTTCTGTAGGAGCAGATTAGGACTATGTATTTTAACAACCCTAGCCTACAAGCCATCAACGCAAAAAATGTTTCAGGCACGTTATAGCGCTGGAAGACGCATTTGCAAGGCCTGTCAGTACACTATCCAAAGAGTTATTTAACGCACGAATTGAGGATTGTTGGAGTTTGAGGGGGAGGTGGCTGCATCTCTTTCATATACTAACATGATAGGAGAGAGGTTTCTTGGCTGCTATAAATCAGCAGTTTCAGCTCTGAGTGTGGTTTCCCAGGCACAGTTTATAGCTGAAGCCATACGGGTTTTTTGTTCCTACATCCAATGGATAATAAAAGATGGAAAGTTACTGCATGCTTTTATCTCAGAAATATAATGAACAGAAATATTACCCCATGAGAGCTCTGCTTACGCTGCCGTTATCACAGGGGCCCAAGCAACAGTTAGTTGAATCTGCTCAGGTTTTTCTCAGCAACTGCTCATTACGATCCTCTGAATTGCTAAGACCACCAACTGCAGTAACCAGTGGATAATGGGAGCTGTAAGTAAGGTGCTGACGCTCAGTCCCTCCTAGAAGGAAGCCATCCATCACTGTGCAGAAGAAATTGAATGGGATCACCTCAGAAGTGGTTAATTCTTGGCTGCAAGTTCCTCTTGCAGGCCACCCAGAAGTACTCAGTAATAAAAACCTGTATTTAACAGCTCAGTTTTAAATGAATGGCCTGTTTTACCCCATCCAGGGAAGCATATGATCAGTTGGTGCAGTCTGCATCCCCAGCACAGATTTTGGCACACTGGTAAGCTCAGGATGTGTTACACTGCCCCACGCTACAGCAGCGATGTTTGATGCTCCAGGATGGATTCCCAGGTTGGGAGTTTCCATCAGCCTTATCCCAACCTGCATCCGTCTGCAGCATAGGGCTAAAACAGCTCAAGTCTTTGTTATGCAACTGGCCTGAGGACTTAATTCTCCAAGCGTAGGTACATTTTGTCCGCACCAGAGAGTGGTGCCTTCACTTTGCTAGAGGCAGAGAAATTCATCTGGATAAAGTGTGAACATTTGTACTGCGTAAGAGCACCCACACTGATACACACCCACTCAAACACCCACATTTGGAAGACCAAGTATTTTTGCCTGGGTGTATCTGTGGTAAGATTTGCATGGGTGCAGTTTGACAGAATAACCATTACTCAGGCATCTTAGCTGACTGGCAGCTCAGATTTGTTCTTTTTTTTTTTAAAAAATGGCTAAAATTTTCAGGGAGAAAACCTTTGTTTTAAATAAAAAAAGACAGCATTTATGGAAGTATTTTTCAGGATTTTACTGCAAACCAATGGGTTTGGTCACAAAAAAATATGATACATATAACCATGTTAATTATATTACATTACAATGATGCTATACATTACAAGTAAGCCTGTAAGTTTAAATATACGTCTAGAGTTACAACTGAATGTACAGATCTTTTTTACAGTACATACAATCAGGAATTAAAAACCCCCAAAACCATAAATAATGCCCATTTTACAGATGACATACTTTAAACTAGAAAAAAAAAAAAAAAGAAACCAACAGCTTTGACTGACTGCAGCTGGGGCATTTTGGTCCATAAAAACCCCTTCTAAAAATAGAAATCTTTTTTCATAGCAGCAATGCTTTCTTCAAGCATTTGGATACAAGTAATTGTGAGCCCATTTCAATAATTTTAGTTGACTGTATAGATTTACAAAAGAAATTTCAAAATTACACTTAATTTATCTTCCAAATATGGAAGAAACAAACAATGCCCCACATTGTGGTATCCTGCAAGTGTCACATTGATGCTTTAAACTAAGTCCATCTGTAGTACGCAGACCACACGCATACCATTTGTTCACATAGTAAACCCACATAAATGAACTGAGAAACACACTCTGCAACAGGGAAAGCTTTGGAGCTCACAAGATCTCATCAGAAAAAGGCACATTTCATAAAATCCTTATCACGTTCAGATAGATCTTCAGGCAAGGCTTTTCGGAGCACGATTTCAAAACATCTTGTTCTTACTCCTACGATCTGCCGTAGCAGTCTATGGCAGCAGTCACGCTTGTTTTTCTTTCCAAGGAGACAGCACCACTTTGGGGGAAGAACGAATGGAAATGAAAAGCCTGTAAAGCTCATTTAGAGAGTGATGTGCTCTTCAAAAAAGCTTCCAGCAAACAGTGTCGTTGAAATTAAGGCTGCAAAGCTGCCACGGTGGAAATGTGCAAATTCTCTTTCAAGATGACTGGTCAACTGGCAGTTCCACCAGAAGGCCAAACAAAAATAAAAATAATAGTTGTTATTATTATCAAAAAAGAAAGAAAGAAAAATGTTCACAAGAAAGAGTCCACGGGTGGGGCATATGAGAAGCCCAAAAAAGCCTCCGCGGCTTCTTTGACGCTGGCGGTGCGTTGAAATTAAGGCTGCAAAGCTGCCACGGTGGAAATGTGCAAATTCTCTTTCAAGATGACTGGTCAACTGGCAGTTCCACCAGAAGGCCAAACAAAAATAAAAATAATAGTTGTTATTATTATCAAAAAAGAAAGAAAGAAAAATGTTCACAAGAAAGAGTCCACGGGTGGGGCATATGAGAAGCCCAAAAAAGCCTCCGCGGCTTCTTTGACGCTGGCCGATGGAGTTGGGGACTGGCTCATCTGTAAACTCCGGATCAAAGTGTCGCAGGTCACTGGGGCCACTCTGTGGAAAGGGCAGAAAAGGAAAGATGCAACATTTAGACCCAAAAGTTTTGTGAGTGCACAGTCCAATCCAAAATGGGGACAAGCACCCTTGTGGGGAGACTCACAGTGTTATCATTTTGGGCCCACTGTTTAACAGCCTTTGCCAGTTTTAGTTTGACTTTTTTTTTTGGTGTCCTGCTGCATATTGTCTCACTAAAACCAAGATGATTCAATTTAATATGCTACCTACCCTCCAGCTAAGCTCACACAACAAAAGCCAAATGCAAACACACCACTCTGCCATGCAGCAGTTTGCAGGGGAAGACTTTGATCTCTGGGCAAGTTATTAAATTTAGTTTATAAAATTCTCAGAAAGTGAAAGGGAACAACCTCTGCAACCAGATCCCTCTCTTTAGATGTTAGCATCTGACAAGCCAAGCCAAATGTAATTCTGCCCTTGGGAAGCTGCTTGCTTTCTACACCTTACCTTCCCCTTTGGTAAAACGGGGATGCTGGGGATTATTTCAAAATAGCCATGCAAATGAAGTGTTTGTGAGAGGCCAAAAAACCCAGCTAAAATTAGACTGTCCATCAGCAAAAAGCCAGCTACCACTTATTTTTAACCTTGCCTGGAGAGCCACAAGGGAAGGAAAAGCTGTGTTCCCCAAACACAGCTATCTATCTGGCCAGTTCCCCTGGCTTCCAGGCACCCCACCAAGACAAGGGGGGAAAAGACCCTCTCCATACATTCTATAATTAGAAGTGATACATACCACATTTGGGTTAAAAGGGGGTGTAATCTTCTTATTAATGAGATCATCCCAGTTAATTGGGGAGAAGAAGATGTGATTCTTAATCTCCATCTGTTACAGAGAGAAAAATAGATTAATTCAGACCCAAGCTAATGTAAGCAGTATGGCCTAGTCATCCTCCTGTGCTGCCTACAGGCACCAGCCAGTTTGGCACTTACAAAGTCCTCCTTGGCGCCAAGCCTCTTGGTCCTGTCCTTCTGCAAGAGGCCTTCCAGGAGGTGTCTAGCCGAGTTGGTAATATTTGGCTTCAGCTGCAAGGGTTTGTTCAAGATGTTGTCATACATTTCTGCCGTGTTCCTGCTGTAGAAGGGCGGCTGTGGGAACAGGGAAGGAGACACCCGGGTTACGGAGGCTGACAGGCAGGCAGGGGGTTTCTTGTGGGGAAAGGACGAGTAAGATAGTTTGATCTGACACGAAGGATTCATTGCTTACCAGGCCATAGAGCATCTCATAGAGAACGGCCCCAAGACACCACCAGTCCACAGTCCGGTCATAGGGCTGCTTATGAAGAACTTCAGGAGCAAGATACTGCACAAGAGAAGGAAGAGCCACCGCGTTAGCCAAAGGGGACCTTTATAATTAGGAAAGCCTCCCTATTCTTAAATGAAAGCAGCTCACTGAATCCTAGCAACATCCAAGCTACAAGCTCTTTACAAACAGGGAGATGGCTCGAGAGCTGTTCTCTCCTGCTCAACGAGCTCTACGTGTCTTACACATTCTCACTGGCAGCCTGATATTACAAGACCCGTAATACCCCCTGCTTGGAAGATGTCAGTTTTCACTGACGAGGACAGCACTTGCTGCCGCTCCACGAGTGGCGGGCTGAGGGCTGGCCGTACCTCCGGTGTGCCGCAGAAGGTGGAGGTTGTGCCATTGTGCTCAATGTTTTCTTTGCAGAGTCCAAAGTCAGTCAAGACAATGTGCCCCTGTGAATCGAGCAGGATATTCTCTGGCTTCAAGTCACTGTAGGAAGAGATGAAAGAAGACAAGTGTTCATTAGAGGAGCTACAGTAAGAATATGTGAGGTGCAATCTTTTACAGAACTTCACCAGGTCACAAAAAACATTACAAGCAATTCTGAGCTCATACTGAGATCAACTGTTCAATGCTTATTCAACAAAGCATGTGGGTTTTTTACCCCGACAAACTGAACAAGGTTGCTTACCGATAAACAATGTTCAGGGAGTGCAGGTAGCCCAGCGCACTGGCAATTTCAGCAGCGTAAAATCGGGCTCTCGGCTCCAGGAAGCAACGCTCCCTCTGGAGATGGTAGAACAACTACAGGAGACAGAGAGAACAAAGTTGTGTAAGCGGCGCCAAAGCCTGTGAACAATGCACTTAATTAGACTCAACGTATATAGCGAGGGAGAACAATAGCAGGAAGTGGCCTAACGATCCTTTGGTAGTTCAAAACTTGGCAGGCTGGAAACATTCAATCTAGTAACTTCTCCCCCATGACTTTTCCCCTTGCAACTCTTTTTTATCGAAAAGGAAGGGTGAAAAAGTCTACTCTAAAACCGTGCACATGACAGGAAATAATATTTCATTTTCTTACTGCTTACCTCTCCACCATTGATGTAGTCTAGGACAAAATACAATTTGTCTGCAGTCTGGAAGGAAAAGTGAAGCCCGACCAGGAAGGGGTGTTTCACATT